GCCGGCCCTGCTTTGTAGGCACCAAGACCACTTCAGCTCATTGAAGTGGTATGGGTGCAAACTCCCATTACCTTTAAACCTAGAGTGGTAATTATTGCAGTTTTTATAAACTACAATAATTACCTGCTAGGGTTAACTCCTCCTCTAGTGGCTATCTACCAGACAGCCACTACAGGGACTTCCGAGCTTGAAGGCGCCTTTTGGTCACCTAAATGACTCTGGACATCCTCACTCTATGTATGAGGACTTCCGGCGTCACCGGAATCCCACAGGAAATCATTGTATAATGCGGAGCTGAGCCAGCGCCAAGGGACATCGACACTGGACCCAGGTAAGTGAGTGAAGGGGTTATTAACCCCCTCTGCACCACGGGGATGGGCCTTGACAAAAGGGGGATACTATAGTGCCAAGAAAATGAGTTCCTGGCACTATAGTTTCTCCTTAAACTAAACACTAAAGTGACACTCCAAGCATCATAAACACTAGAGCACACTGTTGTGGATATTGTGCCAGGAGCTCCCTGCCACCTCCACCCCTTGTTAGAAGTCAAACTGTATCCTAACAGTTTGATTTGTTACCTGGGGTCTGCCAGGTACAGCTCCCCACTTCCACAATTTCAGACAGAGAGCCTCTGGAACAGAGTCTGAGCTAATCCCAGTTATGCAGAGCCTAGCTCACTGCCTGATAGTGAGGAGGCAGGGAGCGGCGTGGCAAACCTCAGGTAAGAAGTCACACTGTTAGAAAACAGTAGGACTACTACTGGGGGGTGGGCAAAGCCTCATGTTTGAAGTGTTCCTTTGATACCTACATTGCCTTAACACTTGCACTAACCCTAACATAATGTATCACATAATAAAAAACATAGATAACAGTGAAGCATGTATTAAGGGTATTAATACCATCTCAAGCTTTGTCTTGTGGTTTATTATAATGTCTCCAGAAACTCTTAATGGCATTACTTTCCCATAATACACAGTTCACTGTTATGGGAGTCCTAAATATATGTATTATTTTACATTATTTTTCTCCTTCGGTGTATAAATCATTTAGACATTCCCTTTTAAATCGTTGCCGTGCGAGGATTTAAGATGATGTTTTTCCACATTACATCATTGTTCTTACCTGGTATAATGAATTTAACCAAAAACAGACATCAGTGTGGTTTGCATTTCTTGACTAGCATTATCAATTGTTATTTTACCTAATAAATAAAATCCACTTTGACAAAACAGCGTATAACATTACATTTTCACCACTTCCTTGAAATCAGGCGGCATTCTGTTTTAGGGAAAATCAACTCACTTCAGATGAAGCAATGAAGAAAAAAAAGATACACAAATCTTTTTCTTCTTCTTTTTCTATTTTTTTTTCTTTTTTTTTATACGGCCACAGCTGCTCGTTGTAATTGATTGTTTATTGTTATATTCCTTCAGTTGTATAAACAGAAATTTAAAGTAGCAAGTTAATTATACCATAGAATACATTTCATTGAACGTGCATGGTATATTCACTAAATACTGTGTTTTTGCTTGAGAAAAAACTTGCTTGTATAAGTTAAATAGCAGAAATTTAAATTTTCTGCTGAATTGTAGTTTTTGTATTTGTATTCCTACCTGACTATGTTCGCAAGTCATACTACTCAGAGACAACATGGGTTTGCTTCAGGGAGATCATGCCAAACTAATCTGATTGATTTTTTTGATTGAGTAATTAAAATAATAGATCAGGGTGGTGCAGTAGACATTGCTTACCTAGATTTCAGTAAGGCTTTTGACACTGTTGCACATAGAAGGCTTATCAATAAACTGCAATCTTTATTGCAATATTGTTGAATATTGTTGAATGGGTAAGGCAGTGGCTAAGTGACAGGAAACAGAGGGTTGTAGTCAATGGAGTATATTCAAAGCATGGTCTAGTTACCAGTGGGGTATCTCAGGGATCTGTACTTGGACCCATTCTCTTTAATATTTTTATTAGGGATATTGCAGAAGGTCTTGATGGTAAGGTATGTATTTTTGCTGATGATACTAAGATATGTAACAGGGTTGATGTTCCAGGAGGGATAAGCCAAATGGCAAATAATTTAGGTAAACTAGAAAAATGATCAGAGCTGTGGAAACTGACATTTAATGGGGATAAGTGCAAGATAATGCACCTTGGATGTAAAAACCCAAAGTCTGAGTATAGGAAACTTGATACCCTACTAACCTCAACATCTAAGGAAAGGGATTTAGGGGTAATTATTTCAGATGACTTAAAGGTAGGAAGACAATGTAATAGAGCAGCTGGAAATGCTAGCAGAATGCTTGGTTGAATGCTTGGTTGTATTAGCAGTAGAAAGATGGAAGTGCTCAGGCCATTGTGCAGAACACTGGTGAGACCTCACTTGAAGTATTGTACGCAGTACTGGAGACCGTATCTTCAGAGAAGGGCTACTAAGCTGGTTCATGGATTGCAGGATAAAACTTACCAGGAAAGGTTAAAGGATCTTAACATGTATAGCTTGGACGAAAGACGAGAGAGGGGGGATATGATAGAAACATTTAAATACATAAAGGTAATCAACACAGTGAAGGAGGATACTATATTTAAAGGAAGAAAAACTACCACAACAAGAGGACATAGTCCTAAATTAGAGGGGAAAATGTTTAAAAATAATATCAATAATTATTACTTTACTGAGAGGGTAGTGGATGCATGGGATAGCCTTTCAGCTGAAGTGGTAGAGGTTAACACAGTGAGGGAGTTTAAGCATGCGTGAGATAGGCATAAGGCTATCCTAACTATAAGATAAGGCCAGGGACCAATGAAAGTATTTCAAAATATTGGGCAGACTAGATGGGCCGAATGGTTCTTACTGCTGTCACATTCTATGTTTCTATATTTCTATGTTACTCTGTTTAGTGAATAGAACATTTTATGTTAACAGACCATATAATTGTAGTCGGAATATGCATTTACAGTAATTTATGTCCCTGATTTGCCCCTAAATGTACAACCATTAATACTTTCATACATCTTCTGTGACAACTGAATTATGGTATTATTAATTAAATACCCTTTTTCCCTTTGTCTTTTCTTCATCTTTGTCATAGCTTTCATCTTCCACATTTTTTAATGGTGGTATAAAACACACTTCCCCCACAGTACTTCAAGTGCACACTGGAGCATTTCTTCCTTAGTGCCATATTTGGACCGATATCCACACTGTGCTCACTCCCACAGCATTGTGGGATCAAAGTATTTTGCATCATGTGCCTTGGGAGTTCAACTTGTGATATACATAAAAAAAAAAATAATAATAATAAAGTTTTGTTTTACATAAATAAAAAAATAGCATAGCTCATTACTTAATTTTAGCTAGCAATTTAGTTATGAAAAAATTAGGGAGGTGACAGCTCACATTTAAAAAATTGCTTTGTTAGCTAATGGCTGTGTCTGATTTTTATATTAGTATATTACTTTCCGAGATACTATTGTTTTATAACTATAAGTTATAAATGGAAAAGCTAGCCAACAGGTTGCAAAGATCCGAGGAATCATAGTATCATGAAATTTTAGTGATGTATTGAAACTATGGGCAGAACAATCAGAGTGGGTGAGGTCTGGGAACAATTCCATTATTCATCATGGAATTCAGCGTTCAGAAAGTGTATTGATAGCACACCCAACAAATACACCCACAGTACTAAGACGTGACAACTTTTTATCAGTCAGCTGTTTATATAGGCAGGTGTATGTTTCCTGAATGGAACTCAGAATGACGTATTTCATGTTTGCATATTTAGCACATATTAACCTCATTGTCAGCACTTAGAAACTGCCATTTGAGCACAACATTTACCATTTATCCTTTGTGTGTTAAATTAATATGTGAGGCACACACTTAAATATATATTTTTATCTCATAACAATATATGCATTTTTATTATTATTAAACCTTCATTGTGATTACCATTCCTATTCCTATTATAATTGATAAATATTAAGATGCAGAGTTCTGACTTACTGCTCAGACCTACACAAGGGACAATAAATTGCATCACATCCTCAAAATTGATAAATATATTACATTTCGCACAAACATTTTGCTAACCAGATTGCTTCTGAAAAGGAAAAGCTCTCAACTCTCCAACTATCCATTCATATGAATGATTGAAGAGTGAGGAAAGCAAATTTCCCCTGCTCCACATCTTTATTTTATTTACTAATAATGGGGAAGAGGGGAAGGGGGTCAGAAGGGATTCTACTGAATGTTAACCGGAGCAAGATAGCAAGTTGTCTATCTTTACAGCTAACCTTAACTGTTATTAATCCAAGATGCCTCAATGATGGCAGTAGTTGAACTATGCATGTTAAGCTGATTGGAAGATTTTTTTCCCCAGGTCAACTATTCCATCTGCTATTTAGCTAATCAGTCATATTGTGAATGAACCCAATAACAGCCTATTACAGCTGTGAAATAGGTTGGATTACTTTAGACTAATAATAGAATCGATAAGTAGATACCATTCTCTGTTCTCTTCTGTCTTCTTGCAGTATTTCATCCCTCCCCCGCATTCCACATGAACCATTTCAGTTATTACTTTTCATCAATGTGGAGCCATTGGCCATTGTCTTATAACATACTCAGCTGTTCATGCAATGGGTGATTCATTTGTGTTTATGTTATGGATGCTTTGATGTAATCATGCATGCAATCTAAGCTCCTTGTAGCACTGCTTGGCAGGAAGATCATATTGGTGTGTATGGGTTTTAATGTGTACATATGAATAAACATGTATATTATGTTTCCAAAACAAATGTGAGCAAGCATAGTACCCATCCAGATAACACCATGAACACGCACATTTAACGCTACACTAATGTTTTTATTAGCAAGTCTCATGTGCAGCCAAGAAACATAAATTTAGGTGCGGGTGTTTTCGGTTTCCCTTATCTTCAAAGAATTATAGCAAAATAATGAATTATTGCTGTATCTTGTAATACCTTTTTTTGTTGGACTAACAGAAATTTGTAGTGACAAGCTTTTGGGAGTTCCTCCCTTTATCAAGTTTAAAGCCTTTTTATCACAATGAAATAAGCAAGTTCTGATAGCTATAATGCAGAGATTAATGCAGCAAAATAACTATTCCAGGCTGTGATAAATCTGCCCTGGGATGGGAGAATTTGGAAAAGAAAAGGAGATAAATGTAGAGATGGCTCAGAGGAGCAGAATACTCATGTAAAACTTTTGTAGTGTGCCAAGAAGCACCAATTCACATTTAGTCCATTACGTTTAGTGTTGCTGGATCATTCAGGACTTTAATGCTGGAGTTGTGTAAGTTGTGTAAGTAGCTGCATCCGTCTGTGGTTTTTCCATACACAGATGTCTATAGAGAGTGCTATTTGTGAAGCTCACAGTAGTGTGCAGAAAGTTAGTGTCCGAAGAGAAGTACATTTTAAGTTTTATCGATGGATGGAAGAGTCATGAAATGAAAAGAGTCATAGGCATAGCAGTACTATTTGTAAGGTTTGTATTTTTGTGTTTCAATAAATTTCTGCTCTAGTTCATCAATGCATCTCTATGAGGAGATGCTGATTAGCGCCCAATAGCTTCACAATGCTTTCCTATAGGAAAGCATTGTATTGGCTGAGATCATCAAAATTTTTGATCGCAGCCAAAGAGGCGGAGCGCGGTGAAGCTGGAAATAAGTGAGTTTAATACCCTTTTAAACTAAGGAAAGGGGGGTAGGTAATCTAAACTATGCTTTCCAAACTATAGTGTCATGAATATCCTGACACTATAGTGTTCCTTTGATGAAACCTCCTGAATTTTGTATGCAGGATTCTTCACATTGTTGTCTAGTTCTTATATTGAAAATATTTTTTCTCAATGTCATAAGCAGACCATAACTAATTCAATATTTGCATAAAGAAGAAAACATTATCATTTTACATTTGTAATAACATAATATAACATTCCTGGATTTAATTTTAAATCACATTGCACCAAGAATGTAGATGCAGAGAGAACAGATGGAAGCAAAATAAGAAAGAAAGGTGGGGATAGAAAATAATATAAGATGGTGATAGGGGACAAAGTATGCCAATACAAACTGTCAAACCCTAAAAAGATATGATTGCCAGTATTAGAAACATGGCTTGTGAACTTTATAAAAAGAATTAAAGGTATTATATAAAATATCAATTTGTACATCTGTGTAATGACATCTATTTTATGGATAACCTTAAACACTGCCAGAGGAGAGACATCTAGCCAACATTCTGTCAATCCTTTTCTGGCAACCAGAGTCCTATTGAATAACATTTTGGCTTTCAGAGAATCAATTGGTTTAGATAACTCCAAAGAGCATAGGTCGAGAGGAATCTGCAATCCCAGGACTCGTTCAATCAAGTGATGAATTTCCTTTCAAATGGGCGACATTGGAGTAGTTCCACCAATCTTGTAAATGTCTATAAAATGATATGTCAAGATTTACCATCTGACCTGGACTGCTTTGGGAAGCTGGTTATAGCATCTGACCTGGACTGCTTTGGGAAGCTGGTTATAAGTGTAAGCTGTGTAAATAGTTGGCTTGTTATACTTATGTGAAAATGTGGCCATTTTACTTTGTAACCAAATTAACCTTATTGGATAGTTATACAAATTGGATTAAAGTTAGACTATTGTGTTTGGCCTGCAAAATATCACAAGGCATCTATTGTACTACAATTAATAGCCCACCCTGTCGATATGGACATTTGCTTCTGCATAGAAACCAATTTTTAAATCGAAATTAAAAAAAAAATTCCAGTAGTTTTGTAGACTATTTATATAGTCAATATAAAAATATAAATATACCAAGCATACAGGACCCATGTGCATATTTAATGCCGGTTAGTTTTTTAACTATATTATTTTGTTCTGTTATTTACCTTTCTGACAATGTATATTGCCAATCTTTTATAAGTTTCACATTGTCGTTGATATACTTTTATTTCCTTTTTAGAGATTTCCTTAGAGTGTTCTTTTGGCACTGTATCGGAGCTGCAATAATAAAACCAATATCTCCACTGGTTTTCTGTAAAGCATGAAGAAAGCTCAGTTCAGCAGAATAATCCCAATCCCCCAGTAACTGACTGACACACAGTTCTGGGAGTCAACTGGTTTAATGGAAACCACACATGGCCTTTTATGTGTGTCCCCATGCAAAGTGGTTTCATGTAACATATTCCAGGGGCATTTCCCCACTGGACCTGAGAGGGGACTGTTAGAAAATACACTCATAATTATATTAACTCTCAGGTCCAGAACATACAAAACAAAAACACCCCAAAATACACACTTTCCAAATGGTACCACTTTAAGTCCTATTTCCCTGGATAGCCTGGATCTGAGCACTCAACATATCCCGAAAGCACTCAGATCCCACATCCTTCTTTGACGAATGGAACAGAACCTACATGGAGGTGGAAGTCTCAGCGGTATTCGCGTGGTTGAGTGTCTGATTATAGTTCCATACACTCGATGACCAAATAACGCTGTACGTGTTTGCGGCTAAAGATGGCTGCTGCCACATTTTCGGCCATACGAACAACGGCCTCCCAGCCGACCGCTTAGAACGTTGGAGTTTCAAAGTGTTAATGGGGTCAAAAGGGTCAATTGGCAATACATGACTCCCCTGGGTGGTCCAACTGTTTGGGAGTTTGTTCGGTATGCGAACACCACAATTATAATCCGTTCGGTGGACTCAATTACCGAATCAACTTAGTATATAAAAAGAATGGTAATAATTCAAATAGGTGGCTGGTTCCACCACAGGCACCATGCCTCCACCCAAAGTGATCTGTCAGTAGAGACCAAATAATCAAGACAGCAGTGACAATAAATAAGATTCTGCAAAGTAACACCAGTTATATTCAAACTATTTGCATTTGAATATTATGGTGTGTAATATGTTTTAATTAGATAATAATAAAATAGAACAACATAGTTACATAGTTACATAGTTACATAGCTATTTTATTTATATCCTACCTGTTAAGGAACTTACTAAAAACATTTTAAAAATAAATTTTATCTGACAATTTCAAACAAGTGCAAACTCATTTCTGTCCATGGCTGGGTTGTTCAAGTGAAACTAAATTAAAATATTTCAAGATAAAAAAGGTTAAAAAAAAAAGGTGAGTCCCATAAAGGATTTAGTTAATGATGAAACTTCTAAACTGTACTCTGAACACAAAAAATAAAAATCCTCAAAATATAGTAAATGTTAAAAAAAATGATACTCATTACCCAACTATAAATAAATGTTTAGCCATCTCCGTCATTGCATATGCACAGGCATTGGTAAGCATTTTCATGTCAAAATTTACATACTATAAGTACTTGTACCACATCTTTTCATTTGCATCAGCTGAAAATGACTAAAAGGTGCTCAATTCTATGAACATATGCAAATGGTAAACTGGTTTTATTATTTCTAAAGTATCTTTATTATTTAAATTGAGCTATACAGAGAATTAGAGATCCTGTTCATATCTTACAGTCTCAGTACTTTAACTCACATTTCTTCCTTTGATCTTCAAACAGCCACTTTATTAGCTGTTGGCTGTTGAAAACTACCCGTTTTCATGTTTAATAGTAAAATATAACATTATTGAATGTTTTAAGTACAAAATAGCAGGCATTTTGCACATCAAATTAATTTAATTTTGCTCCTTTTATCCAGTTTCCTAGAATGAGAACACTTTTCTAGTTTGTCCTCAGCAAGAGCAGAGCAAAGCAGTGAAATTATATTGTTTTTCTTGTCTATACTCTACCTTGCACCACAAAATTCTCATTATGAAGGGTTGTCTGAAGATCTGCACTTGGATAATTAAGGCAAGGGCTAAAGCAGGAAGTGGCTTCTTATTTCACAGGAAATTCATAGTTTAAGTAATCTCACTAACTCTGCATAATTTGCAAGTCAAGTAATGTGATTATGTGGATGTAAAAGTGGTACAAATTAACTCGAGAAGTAAAGCAAGACATTTGCGTGAACATATTTAACTGTCTGCTGTGTAATACTATTCAAATAGACTTGAATACAATGTAAATACTTTTTTAGTTCTTGTAAATCAAATGAAACATTAATGTAGGGCTAACTCCAATGATATATATTTTTTATAGAATTTATGCTAACCAAAAAAGGACACATTCACCCAATACAATTTTAGGGTTATTCAATAAAATGAGAATTGTTGTGAATACAAAGTGGATTATCAATTTAAAAGGAAACTTTAATCCACAAAATTATATTTAGTAAGGTTTTAGCAATCGTTGTGACTAGCTCCCACCCTTTTCCTTTCAAAAATATAAAGCCCTTTACTTGACACAGCCCAAAAAGGAGGCCTTTTTCATCTTTATGCTTGATGAATTCTTGATAACTTTTCATCCAGTTAAATGCTTCTAACAGAGATTGTGGACAAAGGATTGTGCAATTTCTATGAGAAGCATCGGAACTGCCTGCATTGTACAGATAGGACATTCGACATCCTCAAGCTATGTATGAAGACATTGAACATCAAGAACCGAGCTTGACTCTGTTGTGAGTGCAGAAACACCATCTTGTGACTAGCGGTTTAGTTAGTCCTGAAATGTAGGTGGTCCCGAAAAGTATCTAAATTAGTATAAATAAATCTACATGGAAATGTACACTACAGGTATGTGTAGATTAGTGTTATTTGTTCAAAGTAAAATACAAACTAGTATATTTAGGAATTTCTCTCAGTTGGGTCATTGCACATGAAAATTAAAAGGCACATTGTAATTAAACTAAAGTAGCATAAAAGAAAATAGAAAAGTAATTCAGATCTCACAAAATGGACCAAATGACCAATAGTCTACCCGTAGTGATGTCCCGAACGGTTTGCCGCGGAAGGCGAACATATGCGCTGTTCGGTCCGCCCCTTATTCGTGATCATTGAGTAAACTTTGACCCTGTACCTCACAGAGCCTCCCACCTCCTGGACAGCTCACTAAGAATGCAGCTTCACAATGAATGTAAAATGGATGCTGTCCAGGAGGTGGGAGGGTCTGCTGCTGATTGGCTGGAATGTGTCTGCTGACTGTGAGGTACAGAGTCAAAGTTTACTCAATGATGACATAGGGGGCGGACCGAACAGTGCATATGTTTGCCGTCCGTGGCGAACCGTTCGGCGAACCGTTTGGGACATCACTATCTACCCAAT